GCCAGCGTGAAATCTGACAAATCAAAATCCCTGACCGCGTACTTGTCAATCGGGGCGGAAAAACCCAGCGCCGCTGGGGCCCCGGAGCCGCGGCCCAGGCGGTTCCCGGGCATGGCGCGAGGGGGGGCAGACGATATCATAACAGATGCCCCATGCAACGCGGGCGCAGGTGCTGGCGGATGCTGGGCGGCCTGGCCGAGATGTCAGAGACGAGGCTCCTCCGCGCTCTCTCGACGAGTTCCTCGCTCGCGTTGGAAGTGGCGAGAAAGCGCCGCCATGCATTGATCGGGTCCATCGCCGTGGTGGCGGCTGGGTAGGAGTGGCACGTCCGTGTCCAGCTTGGGCTGCGTGGCAAGCGATCTCTGCGCGCGGCCCTTGCGGAGGGCGCCCCCAGTGCACCCTGTCCACTTGGGCAGTGCCGCAGGCGGCGCGCCGTGGAACTTTCCAGAACTCTCCAGCGTAGGAGAAACCAGGGATGGCGGCCGTCGTGGCCAACTGCAAGAATATCTCGCGTGGCGCAGGGTGCCGCGGGCAACGTTGGCAATCTTGCTGAAGCGAAATCTAGCCCTTCTCACTCTCTCGTGATGCTTGGCTTGGCCTCGGCGATTGCTGCCCCTCGAAGCCCGGAAGTCCACTGCTTGACCTTTGCGCGGAGTGCGAAGACCGATGTCCTTCAGTTGCCGCCCCAAATAACGGCAGCAACTGCCGAAGGGCTGGGGGTGATTGGCGATGTGTGAAGTCGAGCCGGTCAAAATCGTCCTTGAGGGCCGGGGCAGCTCCCGTGAGCTGCGTGATGTCGAAGTTTGGTGATGCGACTATCCAAATACTGACGTGGGCAACCCGTGACTTGATCGATGCGGCAGCGCGTGCATTGCACGTCCTTTCCAACGTCCTGTGCAAAATGAACCTGGAGAGGTCGATTGCAAAACGAAGGCCCGCCGCCGTGGCACTCTGGGCTGAACATGGTACGAGAAATGACCAGACTCCTTGGAAATCCTAGAGGCGGAACCCTGCTGCGTGGTGAGGGCCGTGGTGCTCGGGGGGAAATGCAGGTCCTCCGCCATGGGGGTGCGCGCCGCCCAATCAAGAGAATCGTGAGATGCCCTGAGACCCCGCAGCAACTCAACGTGGACCAGGTCGTTGAGCTGTGAGGCTCTGACTGCTCCAACTCCGAAATTGCTGGTCAGCGCGGCGCGCAATGAGGAGCAGCCAGCAATAACGCCATCCCAATGACCAGCAGCCTGCTCGCACCACTGCCTGTCGAGGGATTGCGGATGGCTCCCCCAATTCTGACAATGAACGAGGCCGCCCCGGTGGCCCTGTCATCGTCCACCGATTTGGGTATAGCGCTGATGATGCCCACCGTGAACTGCCGAAGCCACGATGCAAACCTCGCCACCTCGTGATAGACATCAATGAGCAACTGGCTGCCGTCATCGGGTGAACGTCTTTGAAGGGGCCCTGGGGCACACAAATAAATACACACAAATAAAAGGATTCCCTATATTTTCCTATATTTTCTAGGTTTCTGTCTTTCCCCCACTGCCCATATTTCCCAATATTTTCTTGGGAATCGACGATTACTTGTGTCTGTGTGTTTTTTCCCTCCTGAGTCTGAAGTCGTTGATGCTGCGAGGCTCGCGCCCTGGAGCCTTTTTAAGGCGAGGTTCTCACGATGATGTCGCGGATGTTGCGGGCCTGCAGGATGGTGATGGGCGCCAGCCCCGTGGCAAATGCCTTCTGTCGAATGTGGGCAAGGTCCTCCAGGATACGCTGCCGCTGAAACTCTTGCTGGGCCACATCTGTTCTCACCAATCACGCTTGGCAGTCGTGGTGTGAATTGGTGTGGTCATCGTGCCCTGAGCAGCCCTGATCTCAGTGAGAGTAGCAGAGGGATCTCGTATGACATCGCAGAGCTTGCCCGGATATTTTGAAGACGTGGTCGGAAACCAAGCATCCACACATTGTATTGAAATTGAAACCGAGGTCCTTATTTGATCAAGCAGCGTTTTGGGTGAGATATCTGGGCCAGTTTCCAAGACATGTCTTACAACGAGCAACGGCCAACTTCTGTTGTTGACGCTGGCGGGGCGAACGTGCTCGAAACTTGGCCAGCTTCCCGGCAAGCTGGTGAAGAAACACTGGCCGAGCTTTTCGGGAAGAGGTTTCTTCGTAATCAAATGCTCGGCCGTATGATTACGATGGTGACGACGGTTTCTGCTTTTCCGTCGACCCCTTGGGGGTTGCGCGGCGCGTGAGATACTTGCTCCGCCCCAGACCCCTCCCCCGGGAACCCGGTCTGGCCAGTTTGGGGGAGGGTTCGGCTGGATTGCGCCGGGGTGGTCGTTTGCATCAGAAATGCTTCTGGACGGCCTGAGACGGTCTCCGTAAGTGCCCACGAGGACTGGGAACGGCCCAATTTGGCCTCCACGCGGCCTCGAATAGACCCAACACGCCCTGAAAACATCCCAAGCAGCCCCAAAGACCCTCCCATATGGCTCTCTGAACACTCCCAGCTCTATGAGGACTCCCACGAGGGCCCTGAAAAACACAAGTCGTCCCAATCCCATAGGAAAGCGTGCGTCTTTAGCATGTGCGCTTTCTTGGTCTTGACCGCGTTCACGACGGCCGAGGAGGCTCCCGAGATCGCTCCACGACGGCCCACCCAAGAGGCCTTCTGAACGGCCCCAAGACGGCCAAATAATCCCCCCAAAGGGCCGCACCCTCTTCCGGGAACTCGGCCCGGCTGGCTTGGAGGGAGGGGGGGTCCGGCAAGATTGCAATGGGGGGGTCGTTTACTCAGAAGTGCTTCCGGACGGCCTCAGGCGGCCTTGACAAGTGTCCACGAGGTCGCAAGACTGCCCAAGATGGCCTCAACGTGGCCTCAAGTGGCCCCAAGACGCCCCATGCTGGTCTGAGAATAACCCAAGCAGCTCCCAAAACACACCCAGAGGGCTCCAAGAAGACCCCTACGATGGCCCTCAGAAGCACGAGCCGTCCCAATCTCGTAGGAAAACGTAATTTTTAGCATGGGCGCCTTTTTGGTCTTAGCCTCGTCCAAAATGGCCCTTGAGATCGCCTGAAGACGGCCCAAGAAGCCTCCCGAAAGGCCCCAAGTCGGCCAAGGAAGCCTTCAATGGGGACCCCAAGACGGCCCAAGAGGGCTCCAACATGGCCCAAGATGCCGCCAAAACGGCCTCAGAGATGCCTTCACGACGGCCTCCGAAAGCTCCAGGTGGCTCAAGAGCGCTCGAAGACGACCAAAGACGCCCGAGAGGTCCTAACAGGCCCGAGTGGGGCGTCGGTAGCGGCGTCGGGCGCGCGGCGCGAACGTCGTCGTCGTCGTCGTCGTCGTCGTCGTCGTCGTCGTCGTCGTCGTCGCGCATCCGCGGTCGTGATTTTTTCAATGAGGATGTGTGTCGGCGTTTCCGGCCTCTGGGGGCCATTTCTGGGTCGGGACCGTCCCGACTGAACTCAAACTGAAAATCTGGCCCTCGGGGAACATTACCAGGACCTCTGGGAACCACCGAGGACCCCGCACTGAAGAAAAACACGACGTCGGATTTCCGTGTGTTTTTCGGTACTTGTCGATTCCACGCTCTTCGATCGAAGATCCGTCTGCTTGCGGTCTTCGAGAGCCCAACACTAAGAGGACCAAGACAGTTCCTGGTCGTAACACCCCAACCCTGACACCCTGACCCTAGCCCTGCCACCCTAACACGTACACCCGAACCCCATTCCGAACACCCTACTCCTGGCACCCTAACCCAACCTCAGTAACCCTAACATTACCACCCCCGCCCTAACACCCTAAACCTAACACCCTAACCCTAACGCCTTCCCCCGCCCTGACACCCTACACCTGGCCCTATTGCCTAACCCAACTGCTCTAACAACCTCACCCTAACATGTGAGCACCTTAGCCCTAATTCCCCAGACCTAGCACCCTACCCGTAACCCCACCGCCCTAACCCGAACACGCGGACCCTGAGCCTGACACCAAAATCGTCGCACTATATCCCCAGCCTTTAACCTTGACGCCCAAACCCTAACATCTCAGGCCTCACTCATTACCCTGAATGTTTCCACCCCAGCAGTAGCACCCTAACCTGACACGCTAGCACTAATACCCTAGATCGCCCCTGCTCGCCCTAATCCTTCCACTCTAACCCTAACACCCAAACCCCAACCCTGACACCGGAAAGCTGACACCGTAACCCTAACGCCAGAGCCCTAACCCGAACAACCTACCACACTCACCCCAGAACCCAAACTGTGACCTGAACGCCTTAACCCCGACACCATGATTCTAAAACTCGAAGCCAAGCGCCCTAAACCTAACCTGCAATCCGTAGCACACTCAGACATACACCCTAGCCCTAGCACCCTTCCGCTGCCCAGGAAACTGAGAGACAGGGTAGCCCCTTGGCCACAACAGGAGGGTGGGTTGACCCCTCCCCCCTTTGCAGCGCAAACGGTTGGAACGGGCACGAAATCAGACCGCCTTTGAAGGGGGGGATTGTTCGAGCACCCTCTTTTCAAGTAGAGGGGCCTCAACTCGAGCTCTTTCCTTATCTGCCGCAGTCTCCAGGGGGCAACCCCTTCGAGCCACCTTGGGGCCGGCGACGCGGCGTAGAACTCGCCAGCCCACACCTTTTGAGGCCGGCGGGCCCCAGAACGCCGTGCCCCGTGGCCCGGCCAAGGCACCCAGGGGCCGAAAATGGCTCCCCCCCCCGTCGTGCTTTTCGTTTCACGGCACGAGCATGTCTGCCCCCCCCCCCCGCGGCTTTGAGATCCGATGGGATCGGCTAGACGTAGGAGTGACCCTGTGAAAGAAGGACCTTTGGTGCGCGACTTTCGGGGGCCGCGGGGAGGCTGAACCAGACAGAGCCCGCAAGCAGCTGCTATCGCACCGCGTTCCATCACCTGGGGACTCGAACGTGCCCGCTCCAAAGGTCGCTCCAGCGAAAGGTCACTCTCACACGTAGCCGATGGAAATCCTCGTAGGCCCGCGCCGCTTCCTCCGGCGCCACCGCGGCGACCACGGTAGCGCTGGTCACGGCGGCGGCGGCGCCACGGAACAGCGCGCGCCGGCCTGCGTCCGTCGGCGGCTGCAGGGCCGCGCCGCTCCAGGCCTGAGCGATCAACGTGCCCGCCGCCTCCTCCTCCTCCTCCTCCTCGTCCTCCCCCCCTCCTGTTCCTCCTCCTCCTCCTCCTCCTCCTCCTCCTTCCTCCTCCTGCTCCTTCCTCCTCCTTCTCTTCCTACTCTTCCTCCTCCTTCTCCTAGTCCTCCGTCCTCCTCCTCCTCCTCCTCCTCCTCGTCGTCCTCCTCCTCCTTCTCCTCGCCTCCCTCCTGCTCCTCCTCCTCCTCCTCCTTCTTCTCATCCCCCCCGTCCTGTTCCTCCTCCTCCTCTCCTCCTTTCCTCCTCCTCCTCCTTCCTCCTGCTCCTCCTTTTCTTTCTCCTCCTCCTCTTCCTTCTCCTCCTCCTTCTCCTAGTCCTCCGTCCTCCTCCTCCTCGTCGTCCTCCTCCTCTTCTTCTTCCTCCTCCTCCTGCCTCTCCTCCTCCTCCTCCTTCTCTCACCCTCCTCCTTCTCCTCCCCCCCTCTCCTCCTCCTCCTCCTCCCTTCCCTCCTCCTCCTCCCTCCTCCTGCTGCACCTCCTCTTCCTCCTCCTCCTCCTCATGCATCCTCCTGCCTCCTCTCCCTCCTCCCTCCCTCCTCCTTCCTTCCTTCTTCTCTCGTTCCTCTCTCCTTCTCTCTTCTCTCCTCCTCTTTCCTCTCTTTCCCTCCTCTTCCTCCTCTTCTCCCTCTCCTCCCCTCCTCCTCCTCCTCCTCCTCCTCCTCCCTCCTCCTCCTCCTCCTCCCTCCTCCTCCTCCTCCTCCTCCTCCTCCTCCTCCCTCCTCCTCCTCCTCCTCCTCCTCCTCCTATCTTCTCCCTCCTCCCTCCTTCCTCCTTTTTCCTCTCTCCTCCGCTCCTCTCGCCTGCATCTCCTCTCTCCTCTCTTCTCCTTTCTCTCTCCTCCTCCTCCCTCCTCTTCTCCCCCTCAGCAAATCAGCAACAGTTCCTTTCCTCTCTTTGTCAGTCCAAGACGCCATTCTTCCACCGCACCGCAAACATCCACACAAAACCCAAACTCCCGCCACCAGTGAAACGGCCCCATTGGGCGTCGGCCAGATTGCACCGGTACAGCCGTACGGACTTCAGAATACTTCGTGTGCTGGTTGTGCACTCGTACTAGAGACGGGCACGCAAATGAAGGGAGAGGAGGGAGAGGACGAAGAAGAGAGAGAATAGGACGGGCAGACGATGAGGGGGACAATAAGACACGGACGCGGACACGGCCTGCTTCTTGCACCGCGCGGGTGCCGCAGGATGTGGCTGAAACACCAGGGAAATCATTGGCGTGTGAAACTAAGGTGGACGACGGCCCGTTTACAAATCATATTTTGTGTATGCGGCCTCTCGTTCAGACCGTGCATCTGCCACTGAAATGTTGACAAACATATTCGGGGCGCCGCTCGGATCCGATGCCTGTTGCAAGCCCCCCCTCGCAGTTTCAATCCATTGTTCAAGGGATACTTTGCAAAACTAAAGAAGTAATCTAACCATCTTCTTCTCGGTCTGCATTGGTGTCTCCGTGCGTTCAGACCTGGACGTTCAGGTGGGTCCCACCATCATATTCGCACTGCCTAGTGGGCTGGCTGCGCCCCAACAGATTTCTGGAATCACCTCCTCCAGCGGCGCCTCTGCAATCGCACCCAGTCTTCAATCTGCAATTTGTGCATGTACGTCTCAACTTCCCGCATGCAGCGATTCATCCGATCTACCCAAAATTCCACCCTTGTGTCGCTGTCCTCGTTGATAGTTGCGTAAGTTTGGGCAGGAAATCGATGGCTCGCGACATCCCTGTCTGACCGCCCAGAAGACATGTTCATCTATGCTCTAAGTGTACAATTGTACGATGATGACCGTGCGGATGTTACAATATTAACACACGTGACACATGTTTTTGTGTCCGGTTGACACGGCTCTCCAACTCTTTAGTCATTGCCCAGACTTCAGAGCTGTAGAGTGCGCTGTAGGCGTCAGAACTCCATCCATTGAAACATCTACCATTGACAAAACATCTCCACCCCGTCAGCTCCTGTCATTGCGTGGACTTTTCTCCACGGTGCGGCGAGGCGATTCTCTATCTCTGCACGGCTAAGGTCAAGGAAGCACAATTCCAGCCCGAGTACTTCGGGCGATTGCCCACTGTCAATGTTGTGATGTCTATCGTGTTGATACGAGCGTGTCCGGGGATCTGGGCGCGCTGATGTAGGCAATGGTCGTTGTGGAGAATGTTGCCTTTCCCGGGTGTAGTGCCAATCCCACGTGACTGGCTTCCTCACACATTTCCGCAATCACGCGAGATACTTGCTGTAGAGTCGGAACCAGCAACAACATGTCATCTGCGAAACGTAGATTCGACGGCCTCTCCCGGTGCACCATCTGTAAATCAATCCCCAGGTTTGCGCGACCCCATTTTGAGTTCAAGCGGCCAATCACAAACACCGAAACACCTTGAACAGCAGCGAGCTGAGCGGATCGCCTTACTCGGTGACTCGCTGACTTGTGAATGTGGAGCTCGTGCGATCGGTGCGCGCGCAGGCTGTCTGCCCACTGCGCACGCTCCAAGCATGCATCCCAACACCCTGCTGCTGTAGTGCATCCCATATCCCTGGATGAATGACGCTGTCGAAAGCTTTCTCGAAGTCTTCTGTCGGGAACACCTCTCGCCACTCGGTGCCGAAGATTGCGTATTCGACCGGTTTCCCCCCCCCACAAGGCGCGGGCCCTCGCCAGCCAAGAGTGCTTGCACTCCGCCTTCAATGGCTTCCTGCCGAGCTCTTGCGCGGATCATCAAGTTCCGAGTTTCTAGTTGCTTCTTCCTCCTCCTCCTCCTCCTCCTCCTCTTCCTCCTCCTCCTCCTCCTACTGTGAGTGGCAAGGGTCGGAAGGGGACCGGCTCGGCGGTTCGAGGTTTTCCTGCCTCTTCCTCGGTTCTCGGCGGTTTTCCAACCTCGGGATGCGTTCCAGCAGCTGCGCCTTGCCGAGGGCGTTCTGTGGGTGCCCGGATCGTCCCGAACGGCCGCGGCAGAGCCGAGCTGTAGCCCGAAAGCTGATAGGATAGGACCGAGGAGCGTCGAGGATCGAGGAAGGTCGAGGCTCGAGGCTTGAGGCTTTCGGGCACTTCTGGCCCCCCCTTCGGGACTCGGAGAGTCTCCAGACGGTCTCGGATGCATCCAGGGGACCTCCAGGGAGACGAAAGGGACTGGCTCAAGGGGGAAACGTCGACACGGAATCGGCGATACATCCCCGATAGGATCGGCGATGGACCCCTGATGACGATATCCGCACGCTCTTGGTCAGGGTGGGCTGTGTCAGGCCCCTGTCGGCGACCAGTGGGCGGTTGGGGTTCGATGTGTTCCTCCCTGAATCCATCCCCCAACAAAAACCTCGTTTGGTTTTCGGGTCATGACTCGGGTCTCCAGCGGCCGTTCGGGACGATCCCAGCACCTGCGGAACGCTCTCGACGAGGCGCAGCTGACGGAAACCATCCCAAGCCTCGCGAGTCGCGGGCGCGGGTCGAACGGGCGCAGTGCGCGTGGTGGTGGCAGGCTGCGGCCAAGGTGGCTCCGTGCAGCCGCAGGCGGGACGCAAGGTGACGGCGTTAAGAATGGTAATGAAAGCTGCGTCACCGAGCTTCGCGCATCGCGCTCCGTGATGCTGGACGCGCGGCTATCTTCGCACCCCCTCGGGGCCACCTTGGAGAATGGCAGCCCTCCAACCCAGGCCGCGACGTGCGAAGCACGATTATCTTCGCGCCCTTGGGGGTGCCCTGGGGAAAGCCACACTGCGGAGCTCTCTTGCAGCCGCCCGCCCAGGGACAGTGTAAGTCGGTTCGGCACTGCCTCTCAGGAAGACCAGCGCTTGGAGGCACTGCATCGAGATTGGGAGGCAGAGCGAACGATGCAAGGGGGGAATAAAGAGAGAGAGAGAGAGAGAGAGAGAAAGATAGGCAGAGAGATAAAGGCATATATCTAGAGAGATAAGAGAGCATATATCTAGAGAAAGAGAGAGAGAGAGAGAGAGAGAGAGAGAGAGAGGGAGAGAGAGAGAGAGAGAGAGAGAGAAAAAAAAACAGAGAGAGAGAGAAAACACAAAGAAAAGGAAGGACGCCATATCCGAATAGTTTTGATCCATGCCTACCGTGAGTGTCACAGCGCAGCCCACCGCAGAGCCCGCCACGACCATGAGTGCCAGGAGCGCTCGTGGCAGGGCGCCGCGGCGGCGCCGGGCAGCGGCGCAGCGGGCCATCGCCAGCCAATCTGCCCGGGTGGACCTTTCTGCAGGCCCCGGGCCCCTTCCAAGAGGCCCCCTGCGCTCTGAGAAGCCACCCCCTCGCGCCACCCCCGCGCGCGCGGCGACAGGGATGACCAGGATGGCTCGAGGACGCTCGAGCTCCAAACTGCTGCAGTTGTCTGCCACGGTGACAGCGGCAACGATGGTCGTGCTGGTGATGACGACCTTCAAACAGGGCATGCGCCCCGCTGAGGTGCTGGGAGTGCGAGACTGGGCACACGACGGGCAGAACAATCACTTTCCCCCAGAAGCGTTGCTTGTTCAACTAAAGATGGTTCAGACGTGTGACATCACACGTTCTCTCTTTGGGAAGTGCCCAACTCCCGCCCAGACGATACGGAACAAGCTGAAATTCCATGCTCAGATCCCATTCCCGTGTGTGCCCGCTCAAGGACGGTGTGGTGTGCCCCAGGGGGTCACAAAATGCCGTGCTTGACCATCCAGGACTGACCCCAATACGATCCGCAGATCCCATTCTCGGGAGTGCCCGCTCGAGGCGGGTATGCCCGTCCATCAGAAACTGATCCCGCCCCTGCCCGCAGATCTCCAGAGAAGCCAGTGACAAGATAAGCAGCGAGCAAATGATTACGTGTGTTGGGGGGGGGCGGGCGAGGATGGAGCGATGACGTCACCGTCTTTCGGGGAGCGCCGTGATGTTTTTCGGGGTCGGCCAAGAGGGGGGCGTCCAAGAAGGGGGGGGGGCGCAAATCATGGCCAGCGGCCTGTGCGCGGCCAGGGGGTGGGGGGTGGGGGGCAGGGACGTAATGAAATAAGAAGGAGCGACATGAAATCTGGGGAAATATTCATGGCCCACGCCATGAGATCCCCCCCTCCTAGTTATCACCCCCCTCTTGGTCTGACCTTTGGTGCGCGGCTTTTTGGGGGCCGCAGGGGGACCAAACCTGGGCGCGCAAGCAGCTGCTGCTGCCTGGTTTTCAGCCAGCTGGGGACCCATCTGTGCCCGCATCAAAGGTCGCTCCTGCGAAAGGTCACTCCTACGTCTGGTCGACTTCTGGCGGCCTGCTCCAGGCGACCGCCAGCCCCGGCCCGCGAGAACCGGCGCTGCTCCGCTGCGGGAGGCCTTCTGCTGGCTTCCGGCCCGACGGGCACGAGGAGGAGGAGGAGGAGGAGGAGGAGGAGGAGGAGGAGGAGGAGGAGGAGGAGGAGGAGGAGGAGGAGGAGGAGGAGGAGGAGGAGGGCTGGCCGTCTCGCACAGCACCGGAGCACGGTCCGGTGCGAGCGGGACGCTCCAGGGAGGCGGTCTGTCGTGGACAGGGCGCCAGGGCCCGTGCGGCCGTGCCGCCAGCGCCCTCAGGCCCCCGAAGAGCTCCTGGCCGCAAATCCCCTCTCCCGACCTCCCGAGCGCGACGCCACGCCGATCCCGCGCCGGGCACACCCAGAGCCGTCCAAGAGGCCGAGCACGCTCAGACCAGCCCACCAGGGTGTCGCGTGTGCCAGGGGGGGGGGTGCAGGGCGAGGGGGGCGGCCCTCGGAAAGCAGGAGGGCTTCTGCGAGGCGAGGTGCCTTCTCACAGGGCCGCTCCCCCCCCCCCCTCTCGCTAGGGGCACAAAAAGTGACATAACCATAAGAACTCGGAGGTCCGCGCGGATTTCTCGGATCGGCGCTGGGGCCCCCCGGCGGCGCCTCCAGCGCCGCCCCTGGCGCGCTCCGTGCGCCCCTAGGAAAGCAACGTTAGTAGGAGCGGTAAACGCCGTCCTCTTCCTTCTCCTCATCGTCGTAGTTGTAGCAGTAGCGGTAGTAGTAGTAGTAGTAGTAGTAGTAGTAGTAGTAGTAGTAGTAGTAGTAGTAGTAGTAGTAGTAGTAGTAGTAGTAGTAGTCGTAGTAGTAGTAGTAGTAGTAGTAGTAGTAGTAGTAGTAGTAGTAGTAGTAGTAGTAGTAGTAGTAGTAGTAGTGGTAGTAGTAGTAGTAATAGTAGTAGTAGTCGTAGTAGTAGTAGTAGTAGTAGTAGTAGTAGTAGTAGTAGTAGTAGTAGTCGTAGTAGTAGTAGTAGTAGTAGTCGTAGTAGTAGTAGTAGTAGTAGTAGTAGTAGTAGTAGTAGTAGTAGTAGTAGTAGTAGTAGTAGTCGTAGTAGTAGTAGTCGTAGTAGTAGTAGTAGTAGTAGTAGTAGTAGTAGTAGTAGTAGTAGTAGTAGTAGTAGCGCCAGAACCGTGCGCACACACATATGAGTACATATATATATATATATATGTCGCAACAGCAATAGTGGATGCTGTGCTGCGCTATACTATGCTATAGTATGACATGTTATGCTATGCTATGCTCTGCTATGCTATGCTATGCTGCGCAATGCTATGCTGGGCTAGGCTAGGCTAGGCTAGGCTATGCTATGCTGCGCTTTGCTATGCTGCGCTATGCTATGCTATGCTATGCTTTTGCTTTGCCTTCGCTTTTGCCTTCACTTTTGCCTTTGCTTTTGCTTGGCACCCACGGAGCGCAACTGGGGGAGCCGCGCGTTTGCTTTTACCTTTGCTGTTGCTTTTGCTTGGCTCCCAGGGGACTGGGGAGACCGCCCGGGGCGGTTTGCACTGCCCGGCCCCTTTAAGCCGAGCGAGTAAGAACCCTTCTAGGCAGAGCCTAGGTAGGGACAAATAGCCTGGGGACCAATTTTTTTATTATTTTTTGAACACTTTTGGAGTATTTGCTGGGCATTTTTACTTCTTCGTCCAAAATCCCCCTGTAGCGGGACAGGCCCAACTTAACCCAAGTGGCTCCCAACCCCTGGGCAGCCGAAGGATCTCGGAGGGGACCGACCGACCCCCTTCAGCGCTGACGCCCGTCGCGTGCGCCCCGACCTCCAGCGCGACGCCCTCCCTCCGGCAGGCTCTCCGCTGGCCCTGGCTGCGTGGAGGAGGTGTAGAAGAAGAAGAAGAAGCAGACGAAGAAGAAGAAGAAGAAGAAGAAGAAACAAACTAATAATACTAAAGATAATAAGAATAAAAATAAGAAAAAGAAGAAGAGGAAAAAGAAAAAGACGCCATGGCGCCGCCAGGGGGGCCCAGCGCGGGTCCAAGAAATCCGCGCGGAGCGCCGAAAGTTTCTCTTTCCGCTGTCCTTTCCTCTTCGACCTCCGCTGGCCCTGGCTGCGCGGAGGAGCGGCCCTGGGCGAGAGGGGCCCGGGTGCGCGGCCTGCCGATTGCTGCGTGCGGAGGCGGCAGGAGCGGCCTGCGCGCTGGAGTCTGCCCCCCCCCCCCCCCCCCCCCCCCCGCGACGAGCCACAACTGGGGGAGCTGTGGTCCTTCCCCCCTGTGGGAACCCCTCGCGTCGACGACCTCTGGAGAGGGGTGTCGAAGTCGACGGATCACAGCTCCCCCAGCTGTGGCTGGCCTGCCCCCCCCTCGCCGTTGGATATGCTCGCTCTCGGGGCCTCCGTGGGGCCGCGGAGCCGCCCGCGCCCAGCTCGCGCCGCCGCCGCTGCGTGGAGCGTCCGCCGACCTGAGCCGAAGTAGATTGGAGCTGGATTCGAACAGATTCGTTTCGGGGAGACGTAAGACCCGGGTACGGGGGACTCGGAAGTCCCCGACGAGGTCGTCAAAAAAATGACGAGGCCGAGCCTGCATTTTGACGAGGCCTCCCGCTGCAGACATCCCACGAAACTCCTCCTCGTCAAAATCCGAGGCGCGGTCGTCAAAAAACGATGGCGAACCCGAGTCCTGGCAAACCCGGGTCTTACGCTCCCCCGATCGTTAGGTGGGGCCCCAGGAAGGCCCCCCGAACAAGCATCGGACCCCGGGCAGCGGGCCGGAGCGTGGCGACTCCTCGCTGCGCCCCGCGCAGGCGGCAACGGGCGACGACGGGCGGCAGCGGGCCAGAACGTGGCAACTGCCTGCGGGGGGCGCACTGTTGAAGGGGCCCTGGGACACACAAATAAACGCACACAAATAAGCATTTTCCCTATATTTTCCAACATTTTCTGGGTTTTCGTCTTCCCGCCTAATTCCTATATTTTCCCATATTTTCTGGGAGTCGACGAATAATTGTGTCAGTGTGTTTTTTCCCCTCCTGAATTGTGAGGACGCTGAAAAAGCATGCCTGGGGAGCTTGCAGGCTCGTGAAAAGGCAGCTGCGCGAGAGCTCCCAAGAAGCTTCGGAGGAGCTGCGGAAAGGCTTCCGGCACGCGTGTTGGGAACGAGCGGGAGACTGCTCTCGGGACACGCTGCGGGATCAAGCAACTCGGCGCCGGGATGCCTGACCGGGAGCCTCGGAGAGGACCTGGCGTAAGACTTCCTGCCAGCTTCTTCTCTAACAGCCCTCGTAGCTCTCCGAGGAACTATCCGGAGCCTCAGTAGGGCACGGGAGAACTCCAAAGTGCAGGCGCTGCTTGGGGAACATCGAGTCCCCGCAGCCCCCCCGGGCCGCTCACCAAAGGTCACTCCAGCGAAAAGCCAGCGATACGTGTCGCCGATGGCCTGGCGCTTGGAGGCGGCTGGGGGGTCGGAACTGGCTGGGCCCCGGGAAAACCGGCCGGGCTTGAATCAGATCCGCTCAAAATCGGGGCCCGATTTCCTTCCAGGGTTCCTCTGATGCAGTCGTTTACCCCCGGATCCGCTTCCTGCTGTCCTGGGGCCGGGACGCGGCCCCTGGAGGCCGAACACGGCACACACACTCTCTCGGACCCCCAAAACCTCGAACCCTCCCACGCCTGCTGGCACGAACCAATGCTGGGCCATCTCGGACCCCTGGCCGGCTCCAACCTCTGGCGGCGCGCACACGGGGGTAGGGGGAGAGGGGAAGGCCTCTTGGAGGGAGGCTGCTCCTTAGAAGGCGCCGGCCCGCCGGCCCTGCATCTACAGGCAAGGCCCGCGCCTTCCAAGCAGGGGTGCTTCTAAGAAGCCTTCCCCCCCTCCCCCTTACCACCCTCTGCGCGTGGCCGACGCATGCCGCTGGCCGTCGTGACGCCTGGGAACGGGAACCAGCGTAGAGCCAATTGGCTCAGCTGCCGACCGCATTGCCGCAAGCAGCGAACGAGCACACGATGAAGCTGCTGGCCATGTAAATTTCTCAGGACCCCCCAGACGGGGACCTTGATCAACCAGGACGTTGGCGCTCCCGAAGAAACTACGGCAGGTTCGTGCCGTGTCGACCTGGGCGTTGGTTCCTTACGCCGCGGGGATCGCTCAACCTTGAACGATCGGCCCTTTCCACAACGTCCGATCGTTCACCA